GTTGCTCTCGACGACTTGGCGAGCGATAGAAAAGCACGTCCCCCGCACGTGCGGTGGCGGAAGCCCCAGGACATCTGCTCGTGGCGCTGGGGAGAGAACATGAAGATGGCAGAGGGAAGCAGAGGAGGCGGAGCATGAGGAGAAGGAGGAGGAGGGGAAGGGTGCGCGCTGCGAAGCGGATTCGAACCGAGGACCCAACAACACAACAGTGCCTGGAAAAATACAGAATGGATCCGCCCTCCTGAGGGGTCACGATCCACCGTAACATGATGATGGATATGGCTCCTAGGGTCGAAGATTGCGGTAAGACGGCTTCATACGCTTGCGCATGGCTCTGCGATCTTTCAGCTCCCAGACCCAACCAAGACCGCCAAAATGGCTCCAACTGTATGAGACGAGCAGCAACTTGCTCTGGGATGGCCCTTGATAAATGCTCCACTATTGCACCAATATGGCTTTACGAAGCCTAGAACCTGTCCGGCCAAGAACGGACAGCGTCGCTTTAGTCCACCAAGCATGTGGAAAATGCTCTGTTGTTGTTATGCCGCGCAGGTATGCCGTGGCGCGCGTGTCGGCGTGCGTGCGGGGTGTGTTTTGCTGTGCTCCTGTGTGTTCTGCCGTGCTCCTGTTCTGCCGTGCTTCTGTGTTCTGCCGTGCCTCTGTGTGTTCTGTGTGTTCTGCCGTGTTCCTGTATCTGCCGTGCGGATCGTCGCGGTGGTCGTTTTGGCAGAGCTTCTGGGCGCACACGGCAGACAAAGATCAGGAGCACGGCAGAATAGGCCCCAAGAGCGAAGGAGCACGGCAGAGAAAGACAAGGAACACGGCAGAATAGACCCCAAGAGCAGATGAGTACGGCAGAATACACCCCAAAAGCTAAGGAGCACGGCAGAAAATGACAAGGAGCACGGCAGAATAGACCTCAAGAGCTAAGGAGCAGGCACAAAAAGACCAGGAGCACAGCAGATTAGGCCCCAAGAGCGAAGGAGCACGGCAGAAAAAGACCAGGAGCACGGCAGAATAGACCCCAGGAGCTAAGGAGCAGGGCTGGATATGCCTCAAGTGCGAAGGAGTACGGCAGAGAAAGACCAGGAGCACGGCAGGATAGACCCCAAAAGCTAAGGAGCACGGCACAAAAAGACCAGGAGCACGGCAGAATAGGCCCCAAGAGCGAAGGAGCACGGCAGAAAAAAACATAAGCACGCCAGAGTAGACCTCGAGAGCTGAAGGAGTGCGGGAAAATAGACCCCAAGAGCGAAGGAGCAAACCAGAAAAAGACGAGGAGCACAGCAGAATAGAATCCAAGAGACAAGGAACACGGCAGAATATGCCCCAAGTGCGAAGGAGCACTGCAGAAAACAAGCAGGAGTACGGCAAACAAAGACCAGGAGCACAGCATAATAGGCCCCATGAGCGAAGGAACACGTCGGAAACAAACCAAGAGCATGGCAGAATAGACTCCAAGAGCTGCCGAGCACGGCAGAAAAAGACCAGGAGCACGGCAGAATAGACCCCAAGAGCTAAGGAGCACGGCATAATCGGCCCCAAGAGTGAAACAGACGCCAGAAAAAGACCAGGAACACGGCAGAAGATGCCCCAAGAGCTAAGGACGACGGCAGAAAAGACCGACACACAGCAGAAAAGGCCCGAGGAGCCAAGGAGTACGACAGAAAAGACCAGGAGCACGGCAGAATAGGCCCGACGAGCGAAGGAGCAAACCAGGAAAAGATGAGGAGCACGGCAGAATAGAACCCAAGAGACAAGGAGCACGGCAGAAGATGCCCCAAGTGCGAAGAAGCACGGCAGAAAATGACCAGGAGCACGGCAGAATAGATCCCCAGAGCTCAGGGGCACGGCAGAAAAAGACCAGGACCGCGGCAGAATAGACCCCAGAGCTACAGAGCACGGCAGAGAAAGACCAGGCGCACGGCAGAATAGGCCCCATGAGCGAAGGAGCACGGCAGAAGAAAAAAAACAGGAGCACGGCAGAATAGACCCCACGAGCTACGGAGCACGGCAGAAGAGGCCCCAAGAGCGAAGGAACACGGCAGAAAAAAAAACAGGAGCACGGCAGAATAGACCCCAAGGGCTAAGGAGCACGGCAGAAGAGGCCCGAAGAGCGAATGAGAACGGCCAAAAAAAAACAGGAGCACGGCAGAGTAGACCCCAAGAGCTAAGGAGGACGGCAGAAACAAAAAAAACACCAGGAGCACGGCAGAACAGGCCCGAAGAGCGAAGGAGTACGGCAGAAGAAGACCAGACGGCAGAGTATACCCCAAGCGCTAAAGAGAACGGCAGATCAACACCAAAAAGGAAGGAGCACGGCAAAAATGCGAGACGCTTGCGGCAGAGGAGCGAAGGAGCATGACAGGAAGAAGGTCCTCTCGTTCGGCTTTGGATAGACCCCAAGAGCGAAGGAGCACGGCAAATGAGGCCCCAGGAGCGAAGGAGCATGATAGGAAACAGAACAGGAGCACGACAGAATAGACCCCAAGAGCTGAGGAGCACGGCAGAATAGGCGCCAGGAAAGAAGGAACATTGCAAAACGCGGCCAGTGACCAAGAGCGGCCAGTGACCAAGAGCTAAGGAGCACGGCAAGAAAGATGCAATAATACTGCATACTACGCCCCAAGGAAGGAGTATGCAAGAAAAAGACACGGAGCACGGCATAATAAACCCCGAAAGCGACGGAGCACGACAGAATATGCCCCAAGAGCTAAGGAGCACGGCAGAAAACGACCAGGGGCACGGCATCATAAGCCCCAAGAACAAAGGATAGTGACAGAAAATTGCCAGGAGCATGGCAGAATAGGCCCGAAGAGCGATGGAGCACGGCACAAAAAAACAAGGAGCATTGCAGAATAGACCCCGTGAGCGAAGGAGCACGGCAGAACTGCTCATTCTTTGCCTTGTTCGTGGTTCGCCGACCATGCTCCGCCCGATTGTTTTGAGGATGTATGCAGCGGGAGCGCGATTTTTAACACGAGAGGTAGTAAACACGCCACTCCAAGATATCATGTTTGTTAACATGTCTCAGGCGAGACGCTAGTGTTTGAACATCTGTCGAATTCGCAGCTTCCCATGTTTAAGGGATGTCTCAGGCGAAACGCTCATTTTTGATGACATCGATGTTGTGAACATTTCATGTTTGTAAGGATGTCTCAGGCGAAATCGCCATGTTGGATCGTCTCGAAGGCGCTCCTGGGGGTCAGAGTTGGGCTTGTTTGGGGCCTTTGGGGGCCTTCTTGATGCCTTACAAAACCGTTACAGTCCGATGTTACACACATTCATTGTTTCAGGATGTCCCTAGCAAAATCGTCATTTTTAGACGACTGGCTTAAACCATCTAGAAGCCTTTTCAGGAGCGATCCCCAGACGATGTTAAAACAGCAATTTTCAAAACGATGGTGTTCGATTTGTTATTTGTTTGAAGATGTCCCTAGCGAAATCACTATTTTCAGCAACCTTAAGGGCGCTCTTGGAGCCATGTTGTGGCCTTCTTTTGCTTCCTGATGCCCTCCTAAAATCATTACGATGCGATGTCGCACGCATCAATTGTTTGAGGATGTCCCTACCGAAATCGACATGTTTTGAAGGCTGCCTTGGGCCGTCTGGAAGCCTTTTCAGAAGCAATGTCAAAACTATGTAAGAACAACAGTTTTCAAGTCGATGCTGGTGTATGTGTTCACTTTTTGAGGATGTCCCTAGCGAAATCGCTAGTTTCGGAAATCCTCCATTCGTTCTAACAGCCATCTTGACGTGCTTTTTGGCCTCTCATTTCGTCATCTTGAGGTACTTCGAGAACGATATCAAGACGACGTTGAGGACATCTCATTTTGTTGAGGATGTCCCTAGCGAAATGCAATTTTTCTGCCGTGCTCTTCGTTCTGGTCCGCCGTGCTGCCGCTCGTTTTCTGAGGATGTCCATAATTAGCGAAATCGCAATTCGTAACATAAGAGTTAGTTAAAGACTTCAGTCGTCATTTCATTGTTTCGAGGATGTCCCAAGCGAAACGCAATTTGTCACAGACGGCGAAATTTCGCTGTCACCAACAGTTCGAGGATGTCTCGAGCGAAACGCTTGTTTTTGGTAAACGCGATGTCGCGAATATCTCATTTTTGTGAGGATGTCTCACGCGAAATTGCCATCCCGAGGAATCCACTAAGCCTGTATACCGTGCGCCCCGCCACCCCCTATAGTTAAGAGATCTCTTACTGATATGAAGAGGATTCAGCCAAAACGTCCAGCTCGCTTCTCGTTCCTCGAAGACGCTTCCCGTCATCCGCCAACGCTGTCAGCGTGTGTGAGAGGCTTCGCGACAGCCGTGTAGCGCCCATCATCCCAGAGCTGTGCAGATCCCAGCATCCCAGAGCGTTGCTCGGTCTCTGACTGGATCATTTCAAGCTTCTCAGCCCGAGGACAAAAACGTTCCAAATCGCAACAAGCTCGAAGGGAAGCCACTTCCCTTGATCACATTTCCCATGGGGAGGGGGTCTAAGGGGTTGTCCCAAGGGGCATGCGCCCCCCCCCCGCTTGGTAAACGCCTAGGCAGTGTCCCGGGAGAGAAGTATTGGATCACCATGCGCTCCTGTCCCTCTTCTCCTTTGAGATAATCCTCGAGCCAATTTGGCCTTCTCGTAGCAACCGAAGTCCACGACGTCCAAATCGGCACCGAGACGGCCCCAAAGCCTCCAATACGGCCCAAGGACCTCGGCAAGACTCCCCACGAGGACCTCAGGAGGCACAAATCACTACTTGTGCGTAGGTTTTCGCCGGATTCCATCATTCTCGCCGTTGTAGTTTTCCCGAGCTTCAAGTAAGCCCAACAGACCTCCTGGATTTCCCAAAGACGGCCCAAGGGGCCCCACAGAGTGTCCCAAGACTGCCCACAACAGCCCTGGGATGGCCCAAGAGATCCCCAGACGTCCCAAGACGGGAAACGCTAGCTCACATTTCGAGGCTTCCGCCCCAAGAGGACCCCCGAAACCACCAATAGCCCCCCCCAAAAGCCCCCCGAGAGCGCCAAGAAGCCCCTGAGAGGCCTCCGAGAGGCCTCCTCCTCCTTCCTCTCCCGCCACCTCCCGCCTCTTCGGCCGTTGCTGATCTCTTTTCAGGGTCGGCGGAACCGGCTGCAAAGCCCTTGCAACATGGTTCCGCGAAGGCCCACCCCCAGAGACAAACGTGCCACACATAATGAGCACTGATCTTCATGCTTAGCCTCTTTATCTTGTGGTTTCGGATGGCTCCTTCACGGTTTCCAGAAGCCCCTGAGATGGCCCAAGAAAAACACCACCACCACCCCTCCGAGACGGCCCAGGAGACCCAAGATGGCACCAAGATGGACCCTGAAGCCTCAGCTGGCCTCCAAGACGGCACCCATGTTGTCCAGAAGCGACCCTAATACCCTCCAAACACTGCCCGCAGGGCTCCCCAACATCAGGATGACGTCCAAGAGGGCTTCACAACATTAGGATGGCATCAGGAAGAAAATGTTAGCATCCCAAACGATGCTAACATCGTCTCGATGCAATTCCGCGAACAGCCGCTGGTTCGACGATGTGCGTGCTCGATTCCTCGTGGGGGCTCGCCGTAACTCCTGATCTCCGGGCCCAACAGCGATAAAGGATGCAAGTTGGAAGAGGGAGGAGGAACGATGAGGAGAGGAGAGCGAAGAACAATGACGAATAACAAGAAAACAACAAGTGAACTGGAGGTGCACGAAGTATCATCCACATGATGGGCAGTGAAACTTAGACAGGGTATATAAAAACGTGCTTACATAGGCTCGGACTCCTTGTGGGCACGTGCGGCAGACATGACCATATGTCCCACGATCATTCGAACATCGAGCGAACGTAACTGCCTCGGCACCGCCATTTGCTGATCGTCCTCTCGTTCTGAATAGTTTCTGCCCGCCTGTGTTCCCGCCGCGGAAATTGCAACTGTGTTGTTTGGTATCACACGGCGCCGCAGACCCATCGAGGCCAACACTGAGGCCGCCGCACTGGGAATCGAGGCGAAAAAAGCGCTGAGCTAGGAAGCGAAGCATTGTGTCCCGAACCCGCCCGGAGTGCCTCTGCGAAGCGCGAGGAATCTTCCTCCACGAAAATCAGAGCTTTGAAACCCATGTCGTCAAACACTCTCCTCAGAGCAAAACCGTAATGCTGCGCAATGCGAACGTACCCGACGGTGACCTTCGCCTTGCTGAACTGGTTGGCGATCTCTTGGGCGCCCTCCTCGTGTGCGTGCTGCATGTGGAAGGCAATCCCTGGCTTCACGTAGTGCTGGTTGATCGCCTGAGTCATGCTGATGTCGAAGTCATCCTGGGAGATGATGATGGGGAAGAGAGCAGCGTCGCGGGGAGCCTTCAACAGCGTGCCCATGGCCCTCTGGAGGTACTGCGGCCGCCTGCACGTTATCATCACGACCGCGGTGGCCCCACGAGACGCCATGGCCGTGAGCTGCGCCTCGCTCGGAGGGATGGCCAGAGAGGGGGTGGTGGTCACGAGGCAACCGTTCTAGACGTCCGTTGTCTTGTTGTCTTCCTTACGGGGCCCACGGAAATCCTGACCCTTTCCCAGGGGCCGCTTCTCATCCCGGGTCGTTTCCTGACGGCCCCGAGGCCTGGCGGGGGGCCCCGAGGCCGAACACGGCAAAGAAACCGTCCGTGCAACATTCATTTCACGGCGCGGGCATGTCTGGTGCCGTACCACACGCCTGCGCGCCGTAACATGCAGGATACCTCCTCGGCATCCCAGGCCAACACAGATCGTAGCCCCTCCTCACGGCTGCGCTCCTGCCCTGCCCCCGAGCCCAGCTCTTGCTGCTCTTGCTCCTCCTCCTCCTTCTCCTCCTCCTCCTCCTCATGTTCCTCCTCCTCTCCTCCTAATTCTCCCCGCCTGCAACTCCTCTCGGGCACGCTCGATATCTGCCTCCTCCTACGTACTCCTCCACGATTCTCCACAATCCTCCCCCTCCTCACACCTCATATTCCTCCTCCTCCTCCTCTTCCTCGTCCTCCACCTCCTCCTCCTGTTCCTCGTCCTCCTCCTCCTCCTCCTCGTCTTCCTCCTCCTCCTCCTCCTCCTCCTCCTCCACATAATCATCCTCACCATTCTCAAACTCGTCGTTGTCGTCCGTTTCCTCCTTAATGCCTCAATGCTCACCTCATGATCACTTCTGGCACTAGCTGGGCTCTGGAAGAGGATCCCAAAAAACTGGGCACACGGCCACCTGGCGGAACTGCCTGGCATGGCCCCACTACCCAGCGGACAGGACCCCAATTTGGGATTCCTGCTCCTGGGGCCTCACCAGTTTAGGGATTTCATCACGACAAGGGCGTTGTGGGGAATCCAAGCGATTTCTGACGCTTTCCGAAGATTGTAGGTCCGCTCCAATCATGCTCCGGAGGTCTGAAGACTTCTTCGGCGGTCCCAAGCCCAGGGGGTAGGGGGAGGGGGGAACGCTTCTTAAAGGAGGCAGGCTGTTTCTTAGGAGGCGCCGGTCCTACACCTATAAATGAGGCCCGCACCTTTTTGAGAAACAGGGATGCTTCTAGGAAGCATTCCCCCTCCCCCAAGCCCCTTTTTGCGCGTGGCTGAGTGATACGGGTTCCGAGAAATTCCTTCAAGGGGGCCACGGATTGGCGGAAGATTCCTACATAACTTCCTCGTGTGCATTTCGCAGCGGGCTCTTCCCTCCATCACCTCGAGGCGTCACACGCCGCGGAATTGTATGCCCGCCCATGCAGCGCGGCTTCCCGGGCGAGACTCCCGCCCGCGCGCGCGCCCACTCGCTTGCCATCACTCTAACATCCACTCCCCGTGCATGTGTCGGTTTTGTGCGCGCATATTTTCGCAACGTGCTCCCAGATGCTCCCAAATGTTCTTCGATGCTCATCCATGCTCCTCGATGCACACGTCCCAGCGATGCCAAGGTCGCGGAGGCGAGGCGGCACACCTGTCGCACAGCGATGCCCCCCGCTGGCCGCGGAGCGAGGCCCACGCAGGCTCAGGCGCAGCCGCGAAACTGCGCGCGCGCAGAACCCCCGCCCCCGCGCGCGCAGCGCCAAGTCGCACAGCGAGGTGCAACCCTGGTCGCGAGGCGCCACCCCGCTCGCACAGTGAGGCGCCACCTCGGTCGCGACCCCCAACAAAAAATCGTGGAAGAAACCCCGCGCGGATGCGATGCATGACGGGTCCTCTTGGGTGTGGAGGGGCAACGGTCGGGGGGGACTGGCATATCGGGTGGAGAACACCGACCTGGAAAATCCCAACAACAAATCGTTCATGAAGGCAAAAGGAGCCCACCAAAACTCCATGAGCTGGTGGCACCCCGTTCCGGGCACTCTCTGGGGGCGCGCCAGGAAAAGGCTGCCACCAGCTCGGGGGGTGTAGTGGCCAGCCCCCCCAGCTGGTGGAGTGATTCTGGTGAGTCTGGTCCACTCCCTCCTCCTCCCTTCCTAATCCTCCTCATGCCCTCCTCCTCCTCCTCCTCCTCATTTTCCTTCTCCTCCTCCTCCTCCTCTTCTTCCTCCTCCTCCTCCTCCTCCTCATCCTCCTCCTCCGGTGCCTCGGTAATCGGGCTGGCGCGGTCCGCGAGGACGCCCGCGGCGCCCGCGCTGCCGCCCCTCAGGCCCAGCGGGTGTCCGTCTGGGGTGGCCTCGGGGCGGAGGGGCGCCCGAGGGGCCCCGCGGCAGCTTCTCGGGAAGGCCCGCTTGGACTCGAGCGGAGCCTCCGAGGCCTCCGAAGATATGATTACCGTCGGGCCCAGGACAGAAGAGCAGCCCTCAATAACATGCGACCCACCGGCGGCCAAAACACCCAGAACATGCAAGGGCACCCTCCCACATATGCAAAGAGAGCATCCGACAAACGCGATGAACACCAGGGCACCCGCTCCGAATGGACCTTGATCATCTACCGCGGCGCCGCGGCATTTCAACCTCCGCTTTTCCTTCGTCTCGGCCCCTTCGGGGGGCCGCTGTCAAGCCCCCGGGCGGGCATCGGCCGTGGATCCAGGACGCGGGGCTGCCCGCGGGGGAGGGGTCGGGAGCTCTGGGGCCGCGGATGGAAGCAAACGCGTCGCGGGATGTCCAGGCGTCGGGGGGGCCCGGGGTAGGATTCGCACCGCCGCGTCGATTCGCTCTGGTGGATCTTCGACGGGCTGCCCTGTAGACTCCTGCAGTTTCGTTTACTTTTTCCCGTCGTCTGCCTCCTCCAATTTCTCCCCCTTCATCTCTCGCCGCTTCCCCTCGTTCTCCCTCGCTCATCCTGCTTCTTCTCCTCCACCTCCTTCTTTCCCTTTTTTTCCCTCAACCCATTCAAGTCCTATGCTACTGGCTCCTGACGGTGTGGACTCTGGGACGCCTGCACATACAATCGCCATGCTGCATGCTGGTTCTCATGCTGCTACAACCGCAACTACGCAAATTACAACGAGAAGCGGAAACAGGACGGGCAGAGACAGTATGGACAATACTAGAACACAACATTACGCATATCTGGCGACGATGCCCGCTCCTTCTGCGGGCGGTCGCGTGGGCTCCCATCCCCGCTGCTCAGGCTGGCGAGCCCCACTACGGAGGCACAGCGTGAAAAACACTGTCCTTCCCGCGCCCCTTGCCACGAGAAGGAGCCCGCTCATTCACTGCATTACCGCGCCCCTGACTCCTGCCCCTACCGCTCAGCTGTCTGCCTTGTCCTCGCCCTCGCCCTTTCCCTGTCCCTTGCCCTTGATATGCCTGGCCATGTTGCCCCTCGGAGCCCTGCCCGTCAGCTGCTGTCCTCCAACGCCTCGAAGCAATCTGGCCATAAGGACATTTACCTGCACGAGGTTGCCGACGTTCAGGATCGACGCTGGGTTTTCCACTGGGCTGAGCTGCATCATCTCCCACTTCCCCTGACTCAGTGCTGCCTGTTGCTCCGCGAGGAATCGATCTTCGTCCTCGACTTTGTGGCATGCGGGTATTTGTCCACTCACGTTGAGATACAGTCGGACCATTTTCTTGGCGTCGTTGCTGTATCTGGGAATCACCGAACACGACTTCACCCACATGCTCACCTCCTCTGCCCCACTCGTCTCGGCCATACGTTTCAGGCGCCTCAACGCCTTTTCCTCCTCCTCCTCCTCCTCCTTTTCCTCCTTTTCCTCCTCCTCCTCGTCCACCAACCCTCATTCTGCTCCACCTCCCCATCCTCTCCCAGCCTCGCCCCTTCTTTCTTCACCACATCTACCTCTTCCTCCGCCGCCGCCGCCACCGCCGCCTCCTCCTCCTCCTTCTTCTTCTTATTCTTCTTCATCGTCATCATCATCATCATCATCATCACCAAAGGCCGCCGAGGCTCAGGCCACCGAAAGTGCAGCGGCCTCCAGTCACCGCCCTCTCGCCTTTGCCCGAAAGGCAGAGGGCCGCTTGACGACGCCCCGCAGACAGCCATGCCGCCAAGGCTGTGCTCCAGAGCGCGGTCGCCGCGCACCTGCTGAGCGACAGGACCTGCTCGCTGACGAACGCATGGCACCTGACCACCAGCCAGACGACAACGCCGATGCTGCAGCACGGGAACTACAGAGCCCACCACGACGCACACGAGTCCCGCGCTACAGCCGCCGCCCAGCCCCGACCCCAGCATCACCACCACCACATCCACTCCCAGTTTGCGAAGGACCACCACTGGAAGCAGAGCATCAATTTCAACATCATCACGAACATAGAGGGCCAGCACGTGCAGGAGTACAACAAGACGATCTTGAATTGCTGGACGCTGAGCTTCAATTTCAACAACAACATGGACACGGCGGGCCAGTACATGCAGGAGCACACCACGCAGACCATGAACTGCCACCAGTGGAACAATGGCGCGCTGACATTGAATTACCACCTGGAATTGATGTTCGACATGAACGGGAACCATGCGACGAACGACTTGAACATCAATTTCCAGCCCGACGACCCGCCGACGCCCCCCCGCCTGGCCCTCTGGAACCCCCACGCCGCCCTGACCCTGACGTGCGCCCACACCAAGCCACTACGAAGGCCATCACAATTTTGGGATGGAACCCATTCTCGCTCAAGGGAGTACCAGGGCGCCTCGACCACATCTCCGACACGCGCCGTGCTATACAGATCATGATGTACGTGGGTACCAAGATACGCCAACGCACTACCGACGCCCCGCACCATCTTGAGGACAGCCTACACCACACATGGGTCTACTTCGGATGGGGCAGGGGGGGCCCACGCAAATAGCTCAGCGGGCTGCAGCATTGCGGTATCTAAGCGCCACGTCCGAAAGATAGATATTGTCAAGGTACTGCGCCCTCCCCAACCCGACCTACGGGGCCGCGCAGGCGCAGTCGAGCTCCATCGAGGCCAGCTCCGCATTCGACTCATTGTAGCAGATTTGCCACCAAGGCCGAACGGAGCGGGTCAACACCAACATTGGAAAGCAGGATGCCGACGACCATGGAGCTGGGTATTGCAGACACTCACTAACACCCCCACGCGCGTCACACCCATCATGTTCACAGACCTCAACCAAGGACTAGGACGACGGGCACGACAGCTCCATACTGACAATGCGATCGGCAGCTACCAGGCCAGCGACGAGACCGAGTTCGGACGCTTTATCCACGACCAGATGCTGATCCATCAATTGACAGCCATCAATACGCACATCGACGTGGGTAACACCTACTACGGGCCCAACAAAGCCAGAGCACGCATCGACTACTTCATCGGATACGACAACCTCATGGAGATCGTGAAATACGTGAAGTTGAATTGGAAGATCCACGCCAAACTACGCAGCCTACTGCACGTTGCCGATCACGTCCCCATGATCATGCAGATCAAGATGCCTGTCAGCGGTGCCAACATCAAGAACAATAATATCAGCTGGGACTTCGGCCTTCTTGCCGCTGGGCCCCAGACGGGCGCCCACCGCGCCGCCTTCCTCAATGACGTCTACGCCGAGATCAGCAAACACACGGAGGTCATCCGAGTTGTCAAGATGGATCAGTTTCCGACCCGCCACAACGCTCTCATCGCCCATATCATTCGTGAATGCGGCCGTAAGTATTATACAAAGGAAGGAGGAGGACAGCCACAATGGTACCAACAAACACGACTTGAACGCCTCCGCTTGCTTAAAGAGCGTGCCGGTTACCGAGCTCGACGACTACCTTTCAACCGTGAGACCCTGCGCGAGATCCAACGGCGAATACGAACGCACCAACGCTGGATGGACCACTGGTGGAAAGTCAGTATTGACCAGGACATCCGCGACGCGTGGGCTACACGCGACCTCTCCCGAGTCGCACACCTGACGTACATTCGAGCGGGACGACGGACGGGGCCACGGCGAAGATCATGCCTTTCACTACCAGCCACGCGCCCCTCCGCAGCCAAATACACAGATGCCCTTACTCACCCAGCTGTTCAAGGGGGACTTTCGGCCACGCCTGCCTACGTCAGTATGTGCATCGACGACCCGGCATCTATTCTACGATTACTAACCCAATCGAACGACATACAACCAGTGGGGGGGCACATCGGCGCCCCCGAGCTCCACGACATCGAGACAGCAGCAGAAGAGCTCGAACATCTGCAGAAACGACTGTGGAGGGAAAAACGGAGGCGCTAGAACCCACCTGGGCGTGGCCCATCGAACTCACCATCATGCTCCTCGCCCCGCAGTATCTGACCCGCCCTGGCGTCCAAAGGGCAGGGACGGGACATGGCGCCGCGAATTATCAGTACGCGGACCCGCTCGCCGAGCGAGTCTACCAACCCAGTCGACGGAAGCTCGTGATTGACCGTGACGTCAGCTCCACCATCAACCAGACTTTCGTCGCACTACTTGCCCACGTCCATCGATGTGGATCTCTACCCGCCCAGGCTTTCACTAGTCAGGCGATCGCTATCGGCAAAAAAGGAAAAGCCCCACTGACAACGTGATTCAGGATATTCATGCATGCGTGCGTTTACTTCTTTGTTTCGATCATTCTTGGCGTTTGTATCTCAGGATAGGACTCATTCAGTGTGGAACCCAATTCGACCCACCACCGTGGGCGTACGGAGGCATTCATTCCCGTCGCCGCGAGTCGCTCATGCTTATTGCTAAGCTTTTGATATGGAAGATGGGAGCAGCCAGAATTTCTTGTCTGTGTAAGTCGTACGACATGCGGAACGCATTCGCGACAGGCTCACACGAGCGACTGGTCGCAGCTCACACACTCCGATGCGAAGACGAACATTTTCATCCCCTCCTGGAGCAGCATCGACAGGGTGCTGTAGTTGTTCTGCAGGCGTCTGATGCCAGCATAGCTCTTCGACCAGGGACAGGAGGGAGGATGGGCGACTCGAACGAGCCTGAACTTTTCATGGAATCATTCTATCCACTAGTTGTGCAGTGGTCCCAGGAGATGACCCAGGTCCAGGGGAACCCGTTTCAGGTACATTGCCCTTTCACTGGTGAAGAGCATGATACGCACCTTGGGGCGTTCATCGACGATTTAGTCGAGATCCTCTTGGCGCCAGATGGCACGTCCCTCCAGGCGCTGCAGATTGATAAGATCGACAGCGACAGGCTTTCCCAGGCCCTCGAGGCTGGCGGCTACGCACAGAGCATCAGTAAGCAGGACACCCTGGTCTCACTGGGCACCCGCGGGGCTACGAAGGAGGCCGAACGGAACACCTCTGGGAATGCGGTCCAGGACTTGATTCATCTCGGAGGATATGCACATGCCGCTAACAACAATCGTCGTGCAGTCGAGGCCAGCATGCAATCGGGAAAGACTGGGTGGTGCCGTCTGGGCAACTACTGGTATTCTGGAGGACCTTGGAAGGCCAAGCGACTCGCGTTCGTGTCCAATGTCGCGGAGAGGGTCTGGTCGGGACTCGAAAGCTACGCGCTGGCCCCCAGAGAGCTCCATAGACTCGACAGTTCGTTAGCCCGTAAACTACGAACAATGATGAGAGGAACGGCACACAGGGAGGATGAGAACAACAATCATCGATCCCTGTCCACCCGACAATTTTTTATTGAATGGCAAGTTGCACCGACTGCCATCGAATTACTCGTGCGCAGGCTCAGTTGGTGGCAGGGCATCATTCGATCACACGCTCATCAAGGCCACTTTCTCGCGGCTTTTTTTTTTGGAAGGTGCAAGTTCGAGCAGCAGGCGGCCATAAGCAACCGCCCCGTCAGCGCGGGCGCCCTCAACTCGCAGTGTGGGATCTCCGCAGACCCGAACGTGCACCAGTGGGCCAAACAGCCCGCGGACGATTTGATGTGCCTATCGTCTCACGCGATTGGCGAGAGCTTTCAGGAAGCGTGGCAACCTCGAGTTGTAAAAAACTTATGGGACGACGAGTGGGTTCGAGAGGCCTTTCTAAGCTGCGACGTTCGGGCTCTCAGGGCATCCTGTTTGACGACTCAGTGGGCTCCCCCCGAGGCCAGCGTGACTACCTCCTCTCTCCCCTCGGCGTCAGCATGCGACGAGACGGACACCGATGACGAGACGAACCGCCCCTTTCGTGTGCAACATCGAGTCGTGCCAGAAACGGTTCGGGACGCTCAAACAGCTCGCCACACATCAAACCAAATCTAAGAGCCTAGGACACGGTATGCCAGCGGTATTGACCACGTTACAGATCGACAACAGATGTATTGCGTGCCAAACTACATTCCCAAATCAAGATCACATAGCTAGACATTTACGACGAGCATGGCAAGCAGGCAGATGCATCCCAGAACTTACGCATCATGTATATCCCTGGGTCCCAGCAACATGTACTACATGTCCTTTACGAGACTACGCGTTGGACCATGCATGCCAACATGCATATCATGATCAGCAAAAGCTCCGAGTTCACGTCCTAGGACATGTACCACCGTCGTCATCGGGTTCCATGCTCAAGCCTGTCGTCAGAAGGCTTACCACGCGCACGGCCACCCCGAGCGCCCACCCGCCACGTCCCGCGCCATCCAGCTGCCGCC